GGGATTTCGGCGGTACTGCTCGAATCAAAGTGACAAGCCATGCCAAGGTTCAAGGATAGCCGAACATGGACAATACTGAAAGACGTACCAGCAGGATGCTTTCGGCTAGTGAAGGAAGTACTCTCCATGCGACAGAAGATTGTTTCCGAGAGACAATGCATCTACTTTCTCCGCCGCTGTGTTCAACATCGAGTCACACCCAACTTCATCCACAAGAAGCGACTCCACGAAACGTGCGGCCTCCCCGAGCGAAGCAGAAAAGTTCAACAGATCGAACAAGACCTCTTATGCGCAGCTCTACGAGTGAAGAAGAACCAGATGTTTATGTTACTGTCGAAATGTGTTTACAAAGAGCAGTGTTGTGAACGTATTCTGCCTGAACGTCTTTGGAGGAGAATCGTGGGTGAGTCGAAGCTCATTTGCAATCTCATTCGCTCTGATATCAAGACTAGGCTTCAAGGGAAGTTCGAAAGATTAGTTAGTGTAAAGCAGAGTCAGAGTTCGCAAGTAGTTAGCATGAGCCTAGCTCCAATCCAGCAAGACTATTCTGAGGATAGCTCTGTAGACGTGCCAAAAGTTCATCGTGTGTCTGTTATCGGTGATACGCTTATCTCCAATGACGCGCTGTCTGTCTTGGATCTAGGTCCAAGTTTCTCACCACTCCAATCAATAGGGCCTCGGGTCTCACGCAAGATCGTCGGCAGCCTGCAATTTGTTCACGAATCTCTGCGGCGCCGAGCAAAAGAGGAACAGCGCGCAAATGGCATCGAATCTACTGCAACTGTATCTTTGCCTCCTATACCTTTTCCTCGCCTCTATTACAAGCCACAGGAGCCCAACAGCACGGTAGACACCCAATTCCGCGTTTTCGCCACCTCAGTGTTCACCGTTATCGACAAATTTGCCAAAAAACGTGCAAATAGTAATTTAACTCCTGCGCAGCGCCGCGGCCTACGCGAAATCCGTGATCTATGCGACGCCGGGTTGATCAAGGTTTCAGTGAGCGATAAAGGTGGGGAGTTTGTTGTTATGTCACGTGAACTGGACATGGCAATAACCCAGCAGCACCTGTCGGATGTCTCAGTCTACGCACCCTCGTCAGCTGGCGAGTTTGGAAAGCAGTACCGCCGCTTAAATAGGGTCTGGATGGAAACTGCGCGATCTGCGGGACTTCCTAGGAGCATAGTAACGCGTTTTAAGAACGATCAGCCCATTTGTCCGGTTCTCTACACACTGGTCAAAACACATAAACCTCCCGCAGCAGGACTAACTTCAAATAATGCGCGCGATTTCAAAGTGCGACCCATTATTAGTGGCATCGGTGGGCCAACAGACAAAATAGCTTGGTTCCTAAACGTAATTCTTACGCAGCTGCTAAAATACATTCCTGCGCATCTTAGTAACACCAATATGCTTCTCGACCGGCTACGATCTACGCAACTCACCCGGAACTGCGTCATCGAGTCATTTGACGTCACGTCGTTGTATACAAATGTTTCAAATGACGCTGCACTTCAGGCTACCTGCGAGCTTCTCTCGGAACATCAGGCCGCTCTTAACTCGCACGGTCTCAACGTATGCAACATCATGACCCTTCTTCACGATTGCTTACAATGTACGGTGTTCCGATAGTCGGGTCAGTACTACAAACAGGTCAGGGGCTTAGCTATGGGACAGCGGCTTGCACCTACTTTAGCCATCATTTTTATGTCTAAAATAGAAGCGCCGGTATTGGAGCGTAAACCCCTTTTGTATGGTCGGTACATAGACGACTGTTGCGTCATATGTCCCACCCAAGCGGAGGTAGACACTTGCTTTAACATACTAAATCAACAGTCGCCAAACATCGTATTCACCCGGGAAAAGCCCTCCGAGGAATGGTCAGCGTTTCTAAACGTGCAGATTCAGCTTGCAGGCGGAGCATACAAAACAAAATGGTATCGCAAACCCAGCAACAAGAACATCCTTATACATTCTTTGTCCGCGCACCCAAATAGGATGAAGAGGGCTGTGGTGGGTAACATGTACAAAACAGCTGTTCAGGTGTCCTCTGGCGGCGAAGAACGCTCATGGTCTATCGCCATCGCTCGGGGAATTGCGGCATCCAACGGCTACACTGCTCGAGAGCACGTCTCGGGAGCACGTTGGTGCTCTCGTGGTTCGAGCAGTACCGCCGAAATCCCCTTCTGCCTGCCATTCATCTCTGATGAGTTGAGCAGCGCAGTGCGGCGATGCGTACATCAGGCGGGTTTGCAAGGCGTTGTCAGCGTAGTCGATATTCCCCCCGCAAATCTCAAGCAGCGTTTGGTTCGAAACCGTGCTTACGATCGCTTCTGTCCCACTCCTGATTGCGTGGTTTGCCCGTTTGGTAAGGAGGGAAACTGCGTGCTATCCGGTGTTGTATATCTTATCACATGTTTAGCATGCGGGGATACATACATCGGTGAAACGGGCCGCCCTCTCTGCTGCCGCGTTAAGGAGCATTTAGACGGATTAAACAAGTTAAAAGCAGCCACTCCATTAGGAAAGCATCGTATAGTGCGCCATGATAAAGCTGGAATACAAGTTGCAGTGCAAATCTTGTCGTTCGAGCCCGAGATCCTCGCGCGCAAAACGCTGGAAGCGTTTTGGATAACCGCCAAAAATTCAAAAATGAATAGAAAGGAGGAGTGTATCGCTATCACTAAAGAACTGGCGCCATATCAATCCCTATGCGTATTTGAATATGAGGTCAGGTCAGAACGGCATATATAAGTAGAGCGGAGGCATAGTCTTGCATACACGGCGGTCTTCCGACTTCCGTTTTTGCTTCTGGCTAAGGTTAGTGCTGCTCTTGTTTCTCTGACTAGGTTTTCATTGGCTTTTCTCGAATAGTACTTTGAGTCTTCTGATGATGTCTGAGGGAATAGATGCTGATGACTTCGACTTCCAGGCTCTGACGAAGGCGACAGCGCCGAAACGTAGGCCATTGTACCATAGTAAATAGTGTTACCATCTTGGTCGACCGCTCAATCACACATCCATCAAGTGACAAGCCATGCCAAGGTTCAAGGATAACCGAACATGGACAATACTGACAGTAGCTATGCTTTGTACTAATGCCTTCCTTTTGTTCATATCCATGTTTGTGAATTTAGCAGCCTTAAAATCTTCAACAACCTGAAGATCAGCAATGGTTCCTGGACATTTCCTCATTGAAACTAGGCAATCTCCTTGGATTCCTTATGTAGGAAATCAGAGAGTTTCGCTCAATTGTAAACTCTGTATCAATGTCGACAACATTTTCGCCGGCGTAAAATTCTCCTTCTGCCTCGCTGTGGAACTGGAACACATGCGAGTCATCTGCGATTTTGTAAAGTATTCTGCCTGCCGTTTCCTCTTCAAACTGCCAACCTTTCCAAAACATTGAGGGACATTTTAATAACATGTTATTCTTTTAAATGTCTTAAAGTTTTTGATTCATTAAAACCAACCATTCTCTACAAATTAGGTATGGTGAGTCTAGAGCGTTTTCACGAAAGTGACCTTCTTCAGCACTAGGTTTACAGAGTATAGATTCCAGAAATGGGTGGGTTTTTGTGTGAAGGTGTGGAAATTCACCAACCTCCCATAGTTTTTTGAGTGTGTGCTAATAATAATGGCATAACTGTCAATCAAAAGCGCATTTTTACCAAAAAAACATGAACATATAACAACGATAAACACGCTTAAATAGATGCGTTCGCTCACGTTCCCGTAAGTGCTGATGACGATGTCAATCCACAGCACATTTTTTACTGTTAACTTGCTCCACCTCGCTCTTATTGGGTCGTCCCGAAAGTTTTTGCGCACGATTTCCAAAAATTCATAAATTCTGATTTTTCCAACCGATTTGACTGCTTTCAATTTTGTGTGAAAGCGTAAATCATGGTCTCTATAATGACATCTCATTGCTTAGTAATGGTCATCTGTTGCATAGATAGGAGCGATAGAAGAAAAATGGTCAAAATTTGAATTTTCTGTGTAGCGTCATACAAAATCGGAGACTTGCAACAAAAATCGGAACAGTCAGTATTGTAGGTTCTTCCACCAGTTCTCTCTAACAGTGCAAAGTTTGGGCCGATTGAGCGTTTCTATGGAAAGTTATGATTTCCCTGAAAAATGCCAAAATTAACCAAATTCGCCCTTTTGTATTGCTTGCTCGAAAATCAAAACTTTTCATAAGATTCTCAGTCAGCGCAAACTTTGCACTGTTAGAAGGAGCTGGTGAAAGAACCTACAATACTGACTGCTCCGATTTTTGTTGCAAGTCTCCGCTTTTTCATGACCCTACACAGAAAATTTAGTTTTGATCAATTTTCTTCTATCTCTCCTATCTATGCAACAGATAATCATCAGTAAGCAGATAAGATGCCATTATAAAAAACATGACTTACTGTTTCATACGAAAATAAAAGCAGTCAAATCGGTTGAAAAAGTCAGAAATTATGAATTTTTGAAAATCGTGCGCAAGAACTTTCGGGATGACTTATACAATGTGTTGGCTTTTATCGGTTACCGGAGCAAATGATTTTTAGAGCCGGGAAGCAAAGAAGCCCTAACATGCTGTATACCATTCGAAAGCTGAGATCATGGAGAATTGATGTAGACCGTCGACTTTTTTCTAGTTCTTCTGTGCCGCGAGATATGAGGGATTTTATGTGCTTCAAAAATTAACTGATTTTGTGTCTTCACTTTCTGCTCTCCAAATGAATGCTACGAGGATAAAGAAATATTATAAATAATAAATACCGTTTCTTTTGTAAATTTATGAGTGTACTTGTTGTTTGAGGTACTTAGCCTGCAACACCTTTTAATAACGATTTTTATCATATTCTCAGAGTACAATACCAATCTCAGCCCAGGTGAAGGGGGTCATCGTGAGTTTGGCCTCAAAGTGAAGGGGATGAGATCCATCACTCCCCCATCGCAACTATGGTGTGAACTCAAAGGTGTAGTCCTTCTCATTCCAATCCGTTTAGAAGTTCATTTACTCGGCAGCAAAGAGGCCATTCACTCTCACCAATTCAAGTACTCTTTCATAACAAGCACGTGACGAAATAGATTACGCCGGAATTTACACAGTCGCCATTTTTGCTTCAAAGATAAACCTCAAGTTTGGGGTCTAGCAATCGTAAGCGATCCTAAGCGCAATTTCCTATTAGGCTTCTCAAGGTTGGCGGGCGGTATATCGACAATCCTGACAACGCTTTTCAGACTGGTTGCCTATGCAACGACGGACTGCACTACTGAATTCATCACAGGTAAGGGGTCTTGCTATTGGGACAGCATTTGGCGCCTGTGTTAGCTGTGACTTTTATGTAAAGTAGAAAACCCTGTTCTGTGCCGCAACCCTGTTCTTTACTTACGGTACATCGATGATTGCCTCATCGTATGTCCGACGCAGGCAAAAATGGATACCTGCTTTGATCTGTTCAATAGGCAATCAGCTGACATAAAATTCACTCAGGAAAAACCAGAAGAAAACTGGCTTCCTTTCCTTAACACGTTGACGACGAGCCATTTTTTGAAGGTCTGTCCCTGTGGACGAACCGTTTGAGGGCATTTTCACAGCCGGCTGCACATATATATGCATGCATCTATGCGTGAGATACACAAATGCAAGTGGGCGGGGCAGCTCCGCCCACTTTTGGCAAGCCCCGCCCACTTCTCAAAAATGCTGGAAATTGCTCAAAATCAATGAATTCGTGCAAATTCCGGCATTTTTGAAAAGTGGGCGGAGCTTGCCACCGAGGGGGTGGAGCCTGCATTACGGGGAGCGGGGCTAAAATCAAGATTATTTGAGGTTCCCTTGTCATCTATGAGCTTTTCTATGCGATTTGAGAACGAAGAAAGTTTTTTGTAGAGGGCAATGGAGTGGGCGGAGTTTGCCAAAAGTTGGCGGGGCCAACATGAAATACTTTCGGGCCTAACTTGATTATATGAACACAAATTGGAACCATTTGCTCATTAAAACTGATGTTTAGGGTGTCGCGCACCACTGCGCGACATCGTCCACAGGGACAGACTGCCTGTCGCGCACCATTGCGCGACACCGTCGTCAACGTGTTAACGTTCAACTATGCTTAAGCAGAGGAGAATGCAAGACCAAGTGGTATAGCAAGCCAAGCAGCAAAAACATTCTTGTGCACTATTCTTCCGCGCACCCTATCCGCACTAGGCATAGCGTTATTAGGAACATGTTGCGTACAGCTGAAACAATGTCGTTTGACGATACACTCAAAGCCGCATCAGTTCAAAAAGCTCTCCAAATAGCGAAAGCTAGCGGATATCCATATACCAGAGGTCCTTGGTACGTCACAAGACTGCACAACGAAGCCCAAGATAACAAGGTGTCATTCTGTTATCCCTTTCATTTCGGACGCTTTGTGTAGTGCAATAAGCGCATGCGTGCGCAAAGCAGGTCTGCAGGAGTCATTGCGAGTTGTAGAATTGCCACCCCCAAACTTGAAACAGCTTTGATACGCAACAGAGCATACGATACGGCCTGCGTAACACCAGACTGCATAATCTGGAAAACAAGCAGGCCGGGAGACTGTATGCGCTCAGGCGTTATCTACCTCATAACCTGTAAATTGTGCGAGCACGAGTACATTGGAGAAACGGAGGCCACTGTGGCACTAGGATAAAGGAGCACATGGATGAGATGCGCAATTCAAAAGTATCTGCACCACTAGACACTCATCGGATGCTGCAGCATAATGGTACAGAATATGATTTTACAATGTCATTTCTGTCGCGAGAAGCAGAGGTCGCGGGGCGCAAGACGCTAGAAGCCTTTGGATTTTGTCTAGAAATCCTCAAATGAACAGGAAAGATGAATACACTGCAAACTAACAAACTCGCGCCTTTCCTAGGTTATGCGGGTTTGACCTACAACCGCAGCAACCCGAGAGCCTAGCTCACTAATTATTCATACGTTCGTCAGTGGTGGTCTGTGACCCGCGCTCGACAGTCTCAGGTGGGGATGTTAATCCTAGGCAGCATCGTTTCAGTTTCCAGCCAACTATTGTCTGTTCCTTGCATTTGATGACACATTTGGGAGGATAAATCTTATTTCTTCCTCACTTACAGGCTCCGACGAAGGCGAGTTGGCCGAAACGTCAGCCAAAATAAAAGTTGTAACAATCTTGGTGGAGGCTTAGCATCTCGAAACAAGCATATCGTAATGCCAAGATTTACTGGCAGTCGAACGTGGAGAATTCATCACAGTTGACTGGTACACAAAACGCTATCGTACTATAGTTTTTCTGGTCAGGTTGATGTTGATTGAAACCGCGCGCTGTCATTATTTGTAACTGTTTGACTTATTTGCAAATTCAATGGGTTGTAAACGTTCCTCATGGCTAAATGACTCTCGAGCAGCCATTCTGTACAGCCGATTTATCATAACTCTTTTCTTCCTTTTTGGATGCGCTAACCATTCTTCGTTGAGCCTCTCTCGTGTAAATTTCATCCTGGGTCACTGTCGATTGAGGATACTGAAAGAGATCCGGTTCCGCTTGCGTAAAACCACTATACATCAGTCGCTTTTTTACCAACAGTACAGCAGCGGATTTCGTTCTAGTGTCGGCGCCTCGATCTTGGGATGCAATAGCAAGAAGTTGGTGAAAAACACTGTTCCACTGCATTTCTGATCTGTGTATTGTAATATCCCAACCATCCAGACACATGCACTTAGGACATGCCTCACTGATTATTTTTTATATTTGCTGGACAAAGAATACGCATCTTTTTATTGGCAGGAGAACTTCAAACAGAGCAAGCTTCAGAGAGAAACTGAAAGAAGCCTTCAATTGAATACAGGCACATAATCTCCTCCTTTTAGCAAAGACCGACGCGGTCTCCGGACATATATACAGAGTACAAAAAGCATAAGTCCAGCAAAACAAGGTTCTACAAGGTGTGGAAGAAGTACTGTCCTTTAGTTTGCCTTCTGAAACATCTCACAGATAAAGAATTATACAGGGTTCTTAAATGTAGGCGAGATTGGATGGACTAACAAGAAAAGATTACTTGGTCGTGACCTCTCGCATTGGGATGTATACCACTAGATGCGCCTTGAAACGTTGATTCCAAATCTGTGTTCACTATCTGCTGTGCGAGACGTTATAAAGTGCGGTTCATAATTATACGAACACTTAAAATTTCGTAAGTTTTCGGACTTTTTGGGAGAATCTCAAAAAGACGTTGGTACCACGTGATAGAACACAGCCGAAAACGGTATATGATCCAGAATAGAAACTGGTGTCAATCTTAGGAGTGTTTTTGCGCCTGATGCGAATTTTTAGCGGTTCATAATTATACGAACACCTCAAACAAAAGTCCATTTTTCATTCAAGATCGCAACCATTTGAGTCCAAATTTTGTAGAGTTACAGTAACAAAGTCTGACATATCTGCTACACACTGAACCCAGTGCAGTTCACAAAAGGACCGTTACTTTTTTCAGAAGGCTCTAAATGCTTTTGGAGTGATTGCGCTCCAAAAACATAGGCTCTTCTGTGGTTTACGCGCTCTAATTAGCTTCTACCAAAGCTATGATATAAAGTAAGCTCTTTCGATAGGTATTTTGTTTGACGTTTGTAAAATCTTTGCGTTTTCGTGCCGGTTTTCAACCAAGTTCTAACCTACCACAGAGTTAGTACGATTTCGAGCCTCAAAACTCAGCTTCTGAAGCCGTAAAATGAAGTAAGCATATAGTATGTAGAAGTTCACAAGACTGAATATTTGGCTAGAAAAAAATCAGCAGCGTTGAGCGCTTGTTTTGGCCACGCAGACGTTATTTCACCAAAAACACTGTTCTTACTATTGCAATACACCTTTATTTGGTTTGTAGCTCCACAGCCTCAAGATCAGTTCTACAAAAAAATCTAAAAATTTTGGCACAGAAACATCATCATGCAAACAATGCAGCTACTTCATATCAAATGTTTGCGCAAGAGAGAAGCTGAGTTTTGAGACTCGAAATCGTGCTCTGTGGTAAGGTTTGAACTTGGTTGAAAAACGGCACGAAAACGCAAAGATTCTCCAAGCGTCGAACAAAATACCTATCGAAAGAATTATTTTATCTCATAGCTTTGGTAGAAGCTAATTAGAGCGCGTAAATCACAAAAGATCGGATGTTTTTGGAGCGCAATCACTCCAAAAGCATTTAGAGCCTTTTGAAAAAAGCAACGGTCCTCTTTTTGAACTGCACTGAGTTCAGTGTGTAGCAGATAAGTCAGACTTTGTTACTGTAATTCTACAAAAAATTTGGACTCAAATGATTGCAATCTTGAATGAAAAATGGACCTTTGTCTGAGGTGTTCGTATAATTATGAACCGCTAAATGTTTGCATTAAGCGCAAAAACACTCTTAAAATTGATATCGATTTCCATTCTTATGGATCATATACCGTTTTCGACTGTGTTCTATCACGTGGTACCAACGGCTTTTTGATTCTCCCAAAAAGTCCGAAAACTTACAAAATTTTGGGTGTTCGTATAATTATGAACCGCACTTTATGTTTCGATTTGTCGAAAGCTTTTGACCGAATAAGTCAGGTAAATTGTTGAACACGCTTGAGCATTATGGTATTAGAGGACCCTTGCTTGAGTCTGAAATCGTATCTGCACTCCAGGTATATGACGGTTCGAGTGGGAAGAGATCATTCTGGACGTTTTCCTTTATAACCGGGCTTCCGCAGGTCGAGCTTCTTTCACCCTTGCTATTCCTAGTCTATTCTGCTGAGTTACCCCGGATTCCAAAAACTCATCCTGACACACATGTTCTCATGTATGCCGACGCAAAAGCTATGGTACATACAATAGGGATAATCAGAGAACAATTAAAGATGCTCTGCAGCGGGCCATCAACAACATGTTTGAATGGTGCACAAATTGGGACATTTCAGTATATATGAATAAAAGCTCTTGATTCCGTGTTGGTGCTACTGTAAGTGATGAACACTATGAGCATGAGGGAGTTTCTTTGGTGAATAAAACATCCATTAAAGGCAGTAGCTCGGCAAATCTCAATACAGTCAAATTTTCGCTTGCCTGAGGTTATTCAATACGCTGATTCCGAAAATCCACTTTAGAGGGCTTGAAAATGCTGAAAACGAGCGTTTAACAATGGCCCTTCCCTGTGAATTGGACAAGTGCTGCAAGGCTGATGAACCGAATCGTTGCAGGACCCCATGGTTATAGCATAGCGGCGGGCAGCCTCCAATGGTGAGAAGGAAATTTGCCAACTCGTCCAGATGCGTGTAAGAATGGCCTACCGTGTAAGTTTACGAGTAACTTTCTCGGCAAGGAAGGCATGCTGTGCAACCGGGATTGCATTGTTTTCATACTTGGGCAATAAGGAGTCTACCGCGCTCGAATTTTAAGTTGTTGAGTTTTGCCGAGCCACTGCCTTTAAAGGCTTAGGTGTTGTGTTCGATAGCACCCTGAAACCAGACTCGCAAATTTCAAATGTTACTTCTCGTGCATTCTCTTCTGTACATCATTTTCGTACTATTAGAGTAGCCGATTCAAAAATATTATCAAAACTCTTTGAAGCATTTGTCATCCCTATTGTAGAATATGCAAGTCAGGTTTGGAGCCCCTTTCAAAGGAAGCACAAGCAGGCTCTGGAAAACGTCCAGAAAGCACCCGCTTGCTTTTCTACAGATGTTATCCCAGTCGTGAATATCCATGATCGCTTCCAAGCTGTGGTGAACGAATGAAAGTCCTAGGTTTTACAAGCGTAGGATCCTGCATGCTATTATACTTGCTTTCAGGATTTTTAGAGGCGAGATCAAGCTAAAACCTTCTAATATTGGGTGTTTAGGCCCTAGTCGTGGAAGGACCACCGGGTATTCACATCTAAATGGTGGCGTGGCGTCAACAATTCAACTCTTTATCAAAAAACAGTTTTTCGTACGCACTTCAAAATATCTTTCTGTTTATTAAGGAAATCCTGTCTTCTCCAGATAGTCTTACTTTCAAACGAAGACTCAAAAAGTTAAATTTGACTGATTTTCTCTAAGAAGTTGAATTCAACTGATTTTCTTCCAGAAGATTTTCTTGTCATCGATCGTATAGTGTTACCGTTTGCCTACCGAACCTTTCCCACACCCACTGCTACGCGTGTTGCCGGCCTACTCCAGTACTATGTGATCGACCAACTCTGTCAATCTCTCACTCATCGCGCAGAAGGTCTTCCAGTGACAGCTTTCTCATGTACCAAGTTTGTGATCGGTGGGCCTTTAAGCCACTCGCTGTTCCGATTTTTACTTCATCCACACGTGGTTCGGGTCCGGTTCACCCCTTTCGTTGTTATTTGGGAATAAGCTTGTCTGACCTGACATCTTTTTGCAACACAATCTTTATCTCGGATGCTCTCTCCCTCGAACTAGTCGGGCAAATTTTTGTTATTACATCTGTTCCCGCATATACAATAGCTTGAGCTGAAAAATCTAAGAGCACTTTTGCTGCAAGCAGGGGCATGGGGCAGACTCCACCGAGCATCTGCACTGATATTGATACACGGTCTACAGCTTAACCCCTTTCCACTCACGGAGCTGAACTTGAGCTTTTGGGGATGTTCTGTTATTTTCTTTTTACTGTTCATGCTCTGAGTATTTTCGTTCTTCGTTTCAAATATGGCACGCCTTGTGCGTACTAAATAAATAAATAAAAAGTGAATATATACTGCTCTGATCCCACTGTTTCCTCCTCCCCAACATAATACGGTACTTTGAAAATGGTGTTTACTGAATCGACGCAGTGTCTAGTAGATGGAAGTTGATACGGAGTCCATCGGAGCTTGCTGCGCACAATTTACAACTTATGTATTAGCTCAATGTCTTTTGCTTGATGATCAAAGATGAAAAAATTCTACATGAAAACGAGAAAGATTGATGAATTCGAAATAATGACAGTCATGTAACTCTTTGATTCTTCAATTTTCAAGAAAATTCCATACAAATGTATCACTATCACCCTCCAGTTATCAAATCAGTGGGAATGTGGTGTCCCTAAGAGCAAAACAAGATCAACATTTGATCAATTAATCGCCTTTCCAAACCATTTGATATTCAAAACTGCATGATAAAAAAAACAAGCATTACTATTTCATTTACAGTGTCCAATCACAGCCGTATGGCCTACACAAACATGCTCTGCAATAGTTCAAATTCCTATCAGAAAGTATACAGAAACTAATTATTCTGCGCTATATATATCAAGAGAAAATCACAAATCATCACAAATTCCGATAGCGTAACAGTAAAATAGCGATAACTGGATATCATACTTATGGCGCGATTGAATCTCTATGCTGTAATTGAAAAATTACCGCAAGCGAAAATTTTTCGAGATGTCACAACCTATATAATGAAATTTGCACTCAGATTTGAAACAATCATAAACAGGAAAGCATAATAAAGCAGTATACATAATCTCTATACATGTTGATCATACGATTATAAAACAATAAGCACGATCAGAAGAAAGAATATTACGACGCTGAGTATCAATATTACTTTACACTGCCGTTTGTCTGAAAAAAAAAAGATCGCTATCATTCGGACACCATCCACAGATTTCTTCGTAAAGCTTGAATAACATGCACTCACCAGCAGTAACCCCTGATTCGCAGAGCTTCCCACCGGCTCTACTATCTATTTTTTCTCATTCTTGCAACATGATCACTCTGGAACTCACCGCAAAATGCCAACTATCAAGAATGAATAACAATTACCATTCCTTGAGCTTTTGTGTAAAATCAGTAATATTGAAGAAGCAACCTCCTTGCAGAAGTACATGCGAATAAGAATCAGTTACCGTTTTTATGCTCATAATCACCATAAAGTCTCATCTTATATATAAAGCTGAATGTCTGTTTGTATGTATGTATGTCTGTCTGTATGTCTGTACGTATGTTCCGAATAGAAAATTCCATTTCTGAACCGATCGGGACCAAACTTGGCACACATACACTTCGGGCCCCGGCGGGTGTCATAGGCTACTTTTCGTCATCGATCAATATCGATTTTATCGATTTTTATCGACTTTTTTGCTGAGTTCACCTACGGGGCTGGGAGTTGGCACAGGGGGGTAATCGAGCATGGGGATTCCGAATACAATATTGGTTTTCAGGATTATCGATTACTTTTATCGATTTTATCGATTTTTTTGCAAAGTTTGAGCTAGGGGGCTGGGAGTTGGCACAGGGGGGTAATCGAGCATGCTGATCATCCCCAAGGGGGGTGATCAGCATGCTCGATTACACCCCTGTGCCAAATTCCAGCCCCCTAGCTCAAATTTTCAAAAAATCGATAAAATCGATAGAAGTAATGGACGATCTTGAAAACTAATATTGTATTCGTAATCTGCATGCTCGATTACCCCCTGTGCAAACTCCCAGCCCCGCAGGTCAAACTTTACAAAAAAATTGATAAAATCGATAAAAGTAATGGACGATCCTGAAAACTAATATTGTGTTCGTAACCAGCATGCTCGATTACCCCCCTGTGCAAAATCCCAGCCTCGCATGTCAAAAATTAATTAAGCCAGCTAGTAAGCGATAATCGTCTCAGACTTGAGGCCTTCATAAACTGGCAATAACGCAAGTTGAACCTGACTTTACAAAATGGTACATCAAGCTCGGCAAATACATGAAAGCAGGAGAGTTGTGAAAAATCAAACGGTGTGCACACCTTTTTGGGACACCCTGTAGCTTTCCCCCCTCAAGTTTTTCACGCTTAAATACACCGTCCACCCAAAGTGGGGATTTACGAGATTCGATGGCATACTAATGTGGGGGCCCCCACACTAGGCAACCCCCAGTAGCGCCGCAAAAGGTTCTTTCCGAAGCGAGAAATCCGCTCCGGAAGGGACGTAATCCGGTCACTCCGCCCACCTGGTCACTCCGCCCATTTTGCATGTTCGGCGGTCTGCAGCGCATTATACGCCGGGAGTATAACGCACCGCAGCCCTGCGACTTGCATTGCGCCGTTCTCCAAAACGAGGTTTTTTTGGTTATTTTGCGGATTCTCGACTACATATTCGGAATCAGGACCTTCAAAAGGCCTGGAAGCGACAAAAACATGGAAGTCGAGAATTTGGGTAGACGGTGCCTTTGAAGCAGCATTTCTTGGAAACCAGAGCTTGTAGAAAGCTAAGAATCTGTGATTGCACTTCTAAGAGCTTGCAATGTACAATTGTTGTAAAAACAGTTCAGGATCACTTTGTTAAAAACATGGAAAGTTTTGTTCTAATGATTTCTAGCTAATAAAAAAATCACAGCAACGACACATTCGAGTGTTCGATGTGGAATGTATATGCGTGAGCGAGTGAGAGAGATCTGTAGGACTTTTCTGAACGAAGATATAAAAAAAATTTCAGTATTCTGTGCATCCAAAACTTTTTAGATTTTGGTTTCAAACTTGAGGTGTATCGAAGCTCATCTTATAGTGCTCGCTTTGTTATCGGATAGCATCCTGATGTCTATGGCCTAAGGCATACCTGAGGCGATTCGGCCAAATCGCTGCTTTCAAGCGACTTGGCGATTTGCCAGATTTCTAAAGATTTATCCTGCGCGCTTCTCGAACGCATAGGCGGGTAGCTTGTGCGAGTTGTTGCAAATAGGTCAAGTCCTGACCAAAGGAAGCGCATTAACGACGAATTACAAAGAGTCGCTGTTAGGCCTTGGGCATACCTCACGCGATTCAGTCGTCACGCGATTTGGCAATACTCCAAATGTTTATAACTCATCCTACGGGGTTTCTGAATACACGGGAGAGGGGGCATTTTATCAACCTACGAAAGTTATACTTGCTGTGCATTTGAGGTCTTCCAGTATTGAATTTGAGACATATGGCAAATTGCCAGATCGCGAGGCGACTGAAATCGCGTGAGGTATGTCCCTTGCCTTACGCCAAATCGCACAGCGACCGGAATCACGCGAGGTATGCCTTAGGCCTCTCTAGAATAGAAAGTGTACGACGTATTACAGCGAAAACTCAAAAATGAAAAAACTTATGGAACAACCTGGAAGCTCGCTGAACACAACCCTTCTGCTGTTTTCCAAGCTACAAGTTTTCAGTAACGAGCAACAAATTCTCAAATAAGCTTCGCACTTCAACTTCATTCCTCGCAAATTTGCAACGCAATAATTTCGTAAAAAGAAGTCGTAGAACATGAATCCGCAAAAAATTCTCTCGGAGGAGAAGGATTTTCTTTTTGAACAAATGGCAGATACAACACAGATCATTCATGTCCACGCAGAAGAGGATTTACAAGACAACCACAATCTATTAGGTTGTACTGAAAGTTCGTTCGCACCATTTTCAAAAATTCATAACTCTGAATTTGTACGATCATAATTTTGCATAAGAGAGGAACTCATGCTCTTTGCATATGTATCTGAATTGTTCGTTAGTGCTACAAACGAAGGAGATAGAGGCTCAAAATCAAAATCACTCAAAGTTTGAATTTTTCGTGTAGGGTCGTAAAAAATCGGAAACTTGCAAAAATCGGAGCAGTCGGTATTGTAAGTTCTTTCACAAGCTCTTTCTAATAGTGTAAAGTTTGCGCTGACTGAGCGTCTCTATGAAAAGTTATTATTTCCCTGAAAAATGCCAAAATAAATCAAATTCGCCCTTTTGTATTGCTTGCTCGAAAATCGTAACTTTTCATAGACATGCTCAATCGGCGCAAACTTTGCAGAAAGAGCAGCTAAAATAACCTACAATATTGACAGCTCCGATTTTTACTGCAAGTTTCCGATTTTTTATAATTCTACACGAAAAATTCAAATTTTGAGTGATTTTGGTTTTGAGCTTCTATTTCCTTCATTCAAACACATTAACGAACAATTCAGATACATATGCAAAGAGCATGAGTTCCTCTCTTACGCAAAATTTTGATCGTACAAATTCGGTGAAAATTTAAAGAGTTGTGAATTTTTGAAAATGGTGCGAACGACCTTTCGGTACAACCTAATATATGGGGTCAAAAAAATCTCTATTCGCTCACAAGTGTACTGGTTGCCTGTGCTCAAACAGTTGCAGAATTCCGCGAATCGTTCTGCTATTTGTCAAAGCGCAGTTAAAATCGACTGCACAAAACCGTCCATATCGCTGTAGGCTGAAAGCCCGCGAGCGTGGCGCGTGCTGCCGCAGACTACATGAGTCATAAAGCGTCAATGCTAAATGTAGGGTTGGGCCAGACTGCGCGGCGTAGGCACACAGCGTACACTCCCAAGATGAAACATACCGAGCGTACGCGCATGCCACTTAACGTCCATACGCCGCACACTCTGGCTGAACCCGTGGCTTGTGGTCCGCAGGCCACTGATTCGAACGCGCGCCAAGTATGCTCGCGGATGTTCAGCGTACAGCGATATGAGCGATCTTCGAGCAGTCGATCATACTTATAGGGCACTAGCTGGCTTACCGGCTCCGCCGTATCCGGACCAAACTTGGCACACATACACTTCGGGCCCCGGCGGGTGTCACAGTCCACTTTTCGTTATCGATCGATGTCGATTTTACCGATTTTTATCGACTTTTTTGCAGAGTTCACCTACAGGGCTAGGAGTTGGCATAGGGGGGGGGGGGAAGTGAGCATGAGGATTCCGAATACAATATTAGTTTTCAGAATTATCGATTACTTTTATTGATTTTATCGATTTTTTGTAAATTCTGACATGCGAGGCTGGGATTTTGCACAGGGGGGGGGGGGGTAATCGGGCATGCTGATTACGAACACAATATTAGTTTTCAGGATCGTCCATTACTTTTATCGATTTTTTCGATTTTTTTTGTAAAGTTTGGCTGGGAGCCAAACTGCGGGGCTTGGAGTTTGCACAGGGGGGTAATCGAGCATGCAGATTACGAATACAATATTAGTTTTCAAGATCGTCCATTACTTTTATCGATTTTATCGATTTTTTGAAATTTTGAGCTAGAGGGCTGGAATTTGGCACAGGGGTGTAATCGAGCATGCTGATCACCCCCCTTGGATGCCAAATTGCCAAATTGCCAATGTGCCAAATTCCAGCCCCCTAGCAAAACCAATATTGTATTCGGAATTCCCATGCTCGATTACCCCCCTCTCAGACAATCGCCGGGGGCAGGCGGGCACCGGAAAAATAGATTGCTGATTTCTCGCACCCCGCTCGCGGATTTTTTGCAAAGCAAACAGGACTTTTCGGAAGACCGCTTGCTGAGTCAGCGGATTTTTGAGAGTACGCCTGTTGAATTTTTTTTCGCTCTTATCTTTTGCAGATATATTGCTGAATCTCTGAGGAATCGAGAACTCAGCAAGCGATCTTCCGAAAAGTCCCGATTGCTTTCCAAAAAATCCGCAAGCGGGGTGCGAGAGATCAGCAATCTATTTTTCCGGTGCCCGCCTGCCCCCGGCGATTGTCTGAGCTGTGCCAACTCCCAGCCCCGTAGCTCAAACTTTGCAAAAAATCGATAAAATCGATAAAAGTAATCGATAATCCTGAAAACCAATATTGTATTCGGAATCCCCATGAATGATTACCCCCCTGTGCCAACTCCCAGCCCCGTAGGTGAACTCAGCAAAAAAATCGATAAAAATCGATAAAATCGATATCGATCGATGACGAAAAGTAGCCTATGACACCCGCCGGGGCCCGTAGTGTATGTGTGCCAAGTTTGGTCCGGATCGGTTCAGAAATGGAATTTTCTATTCGGAACATACGTACAGACAGACAGACATACAGACAGACAGACATACAGACAGACATACAGACAGACATACAGACAAACAGACATTCAGCTTTATATATAAGATACCAACCACCATCTCGGTCGTGGGTACCCATGGAAAGAGGCACGCGCGCGACGCGAGCAAAGGAGATTGCACTCGAGCGCGAAAGCTAGCCTTGTTCTTAAATTCATGACGTTGATTCATCCCGTGTTTACCTTATATTCTCTTGTTAGGCATTAAAATTGGCATATAATCAAACTGTAAAATTCAAGTCACAGTCGCAGAAAGCCGAATTAACTTTTCCACCATCGATTTAAGAGAAAAGAAGTTTCAATGTGCTTATGCTTCTCATATCGCGTGAAGTATGGAAAATGAGATAATTCAACATGTAACTGAGTACGAAATGAATTTCATCAGACACGCAAGAGAAGCCTCTGTGCAAATCAGCTAAAAAAAAACGATATTCAACCCTAGCCACAGACACAGAGACGCTTTCGCGCTCGGCTACTAATTTCGCTGCCCGTGTCACGCTTTCGCAGCCTCATCCCGTGGGTACCCACGACCGATGGTGGCTGGTATGCCCTATACCATGCAGTGGCAGTCGCTGGATTTCCGTCCGGGGAGGGGCGGCAAAAATTTCTTCCAGGGTGCATGGGTCAGCCACGCATTCCGAAAGAAGGTGCTTCTCAAATTGCTTACGGGCCCACAACCCCTAAAATCCGGCCGCCATGCCCTCGAAAAAAATTTTTACAAGGCTAATTTGGATTGAAAATTTTTTAGAATTATTTCGATTATTTGCAAGAATGAACAAACCACTTGCACAATTTTATAACCCATGTAAGTAAATTTCAAAAATTTCGCGACCCATTCTCAGAGGGGGGGGAGCACCTCCCCGCCCCTCTCCCTCGGTCTGCCGCTGTTGATGTGCTGACCATGTGATGTTCAACCTACCTACAACTTTTGCCCACCATGCATTATATTTCAGTGCTCACTTTCTTGCCTTCGAACAATGCGTTTTTTCTATTAGAAAACTAGCTGGCCTACACGGCTCCGCCCGGCTCTGTCAAAAATGATAAAGGTTCCATTCCTATCCTTGTACAACTTTCCCGGTGCCCACTTCTACTGCTATTCCCTATTCCCCTGTGTTAGTAATCAGTATCACCTACCTTCCTCACTAACCCCCAGCTCCGTAGCTCAAACTTTGCAAAAAATCAATAAAATAGATAAAAATAACGGATAATTTTAAAAACTGATGGCGCTGTTCGGCTATTCGAGCCCCAAAATGTTTTTGTGACGGATCTTGCTCAAACGCGGCATATGGGGGTTATTTGAGCAGCAGATGACAAATATCGTAGTCCTTTCGCGTGGCAGCGGGTAAAGATCATGAAACTGCCTGAAACCTTGGCAGGTAATTACCTAAAGTGCTGTTTCAAGAATATCGTGCTTAATCCCCACGACAAAGGCAATTCGTGTGGTATAAAAGTTTCCCGCGACCGTAATGCTTTCTTTATAGGACCACTGCCGCGCGCGATACACCCTTCGCGGCTTTTGCCCAAGCAAAAACAGGGGGAGGGAGATATTCCGCGTGCGTTACGCGTTGGGACAGGTTATCAGGATGGCGCTGGAGACCGTCATGTAAAACGACCGTTTCCCCATTTCGTGAATATCTCGGTCTAAGTTGGCACGAAAGCGAAAAAAATGTCTTCAAACCCTGCAGCTCACCACTTCACAATAATGCGTTATGACAGCGAGCAAGCATTACGTTCATAAGCAGTATGCTTGTGAATCGCTACAGGTAAGGCTTTGAGCAAATCTGGAACTTCGACCCATTTACTGTACACCCACCGTAACCCAAGAATATGAGCTATCCTGCGAAATCAGCAATATGTGCATGTTCAGCGCGCTAAATGACCACCCTAGACGAAGTTCATAGCATCTATGTTAATCTATATTTTCGATTCCGTATAGCCATCATAACTCTATGAAAAGGTCCCAATATGCAGAGAGAGTATGAAATTCGTAATCAGCAAGTCGAGTAAGTTCTCTGGACCGAACTCCAGCCGAATTCATAATTTTGACTTCCTACCGTACATCTATCGAAACCACACGGGGAGACGTTCTGCGGAAAACGTGTGATATCAGTAACAGCATGTAAGATGTAACCCTCATACACAAAGTTTGAGCAAGCTCTACGAACAGAACAAAAATTTCGGGGCCTGGTTAGCCGTAGCGCTAAACTAATATTGTACTCGTAATTAGCACGCTCGATTACCCCCTGTGCAAACTCCCAGCCCCGCATGTTAAAATTCACAAAAAAATCGATAAAAATCGATAAAATCGATATCGATCGATGACGAAAAGTAGCCTATGACACCCACCGGGGCCCGAAGTGTATGTGTGCCAAGTTTGCCGAATCGGTTCAGAAATGGAATTTTCTATTCGGAACATACGTGCACACATACATACATACATACAGACAGACAGACAGACAGCAGACAGACAAACAAACATTCAGCTTTATATATAGGAATTAGTGAACCAGTAATTAGAGTTGCTAGATTTCATTCGCGCGTTTCGGGACGGCACCGCGGTTTCCCGCTATATGATGGTTTTTGAATGGGCGTTACAATTCTTAATATATTAGAGATAGATAGATAGGTACTTACCATCATCCATATGAGTTAATTTGGCTATCTTCTTCATCACACTATCCAGTCTAGCATCCACTGTATCCATTTCTTGACCTAAGTCATCAAGCATACTGAAAACACAAACTCAGTAAACGAAGCACTCTCAAACAATGGAGGTTAGAATTTGACTAACACAGCCTGTTGGTCCAGCTCATCTCCGATTTTATAGCTCATATTTTTCAAAGTACTGACGGATTTGCCTACAAGAACGAGGTCTTCATCTTGATCGCGGATGATTTGCTAGAACATTTTATTGTCATTACATACATTTTTTGAGCTTTGAATCCATCGAAAGCCTTGAGAAGGAATGATTTAAACCGTAAAATGAGAAATAAAAGCAACCTCTTGCTTCATGAGAATTTCCTCAAAAGTGCTGGTGTTAGGCTCATCTTCATCAGTCTTGAGTCGCGTATATCGTGCCGAAGAGTTTGCAGCCATTGTATCCTGATTAAAGAATCATCAGATTCGGGATCGCACACTTCACGCACTTCAAAGCGTTAAGGCAGAAAAAATGCTTGCAGTTCGTCTTACGACTCAATTTCCCCACTGCAATGCAAGAAACGTTTTCACGGTGCTAAAGAACAAAGAACAGTGATGAACATGGAATCCTACGAACCACGTTTAACAAAGAAAGCGATTAGCTAGTGTATCAGTAAGATAATTGCGGCCTAAATGGGTGATGACCAGAGTTGAGCAAGAGGTCAGGCACAAGTCTTTCGGAAACGGCCCCCCCCCCCCCCTCCCATGAAGGCCCTCAAACGACCCCTCCCTTCTCGACCTCCCAAACCCCAGAGTGTGATATCTTGGAGGACGTCATCTTTTCTAGAGAGTTTTCACATTTTTGAGTACTGTACGCCCAATTTTCTGTGACTGCACTTTACAGTCACATGTAATTTGACGGCTGATTTTGATCTGAATGGGCTTCTTGAAAAGGTCATAATTTATTTAGGAGTGGGGCGTTTGGCTCCAAATTTCCGCTGTGGCAAGAAAAAGCTGTGAGCTCAATACTCATATCAGGAATGGAGCGATTTTTGGATTTTGAAGGCAAGTTAATCGGGTCAGGCGCAACCCCTCAAAAGCTCAGGCGGCCTGATCTTTTGAGGGGTTGCGCCTGACCCGATTAACTTTATCTTCGAAGAAGCTTTTCCACCTTAATTTTAAACGATTCGCTAGCATAAACCTCGAAGATTCTACAGCAGGTTTGCTTACCTCGACTTGTTCTGGCTTTGTGGTGATCGGTGAAGTTGAAGCACTTGAGGTGAAAAACGCGGTGACTTACATTTTGGCAGCACTTCTTAATCCGTTATTTGAAGGCGATATGGAGTCCAATTTCCACCATAGACTGATAAAGAGTAATACTTCATTATGAATACAAAAAAGCGGACTTCTTTAGCTTTTGTGACCAAGTTAATCATGTTTGAAAATCATGCTTTTTACGCGTTAGGAAACACTAGAAAATGTATTAGGTAATGTTTTGTTAAGATCATACCCAATTTACATAAAAAAGCTTCTTTGGTGACCTTACGGTTTGTGTAAGGTAAGATAAAGAATTGAAATTTGGCACAGACTTCGTTAGTCGAGTCAATCAGCATGCTGTTCCACGACAGTCATCCCTCTGGTGGAATGTGAGACTCACGGTCAAGCGCTTTTCTTCTTCACCTTAATCGATCGTAGTACCTCAACTTTTTGAACAAATTCGCTTCTTGATTACGACCCCCCCCCCCCCTTGCTCTTATCCCCAATACGACCCCCCTGGTCGGGCTCGCCTGACCCCACGCTCAACCCTGGTGATGACTTACAGATAGAGATGATGAAAGTCCTTCACCCATTTGCTGACATAAGTGTCGAGATGAAGTCTTCACAATTACCAAATGTCATTTCAAAAAGTGAAAGCCGTGGGAAATAGAAATCATGATTTTTATGGCTACTGAGCCAAATTGATACAATATCGGCGACAACCCACCAAGCATAAACGCGGAAAATATGAAGGTTCCTTCAGCTAGTTTCACACATAAAAGGGTTTTCAATTCGAGTGTCACGGTCGACGTGGTTCACTCCCTCGACAGCCGCGTCGCTTGGGTCTCTCACGTGGTACGCTACCGCACCCGATAACGCGAAGGCCTCAGCGGATGCGGCATTGCGCCACTGAGAGACCTATGCGAGGCGGTTCGCAAGGACCTGAGCCACGTCGACCGTGACACTCAGATTGAAAGCCCCTGTACAGTGACCGCCAAAAAGCTGCGGACGAGCCTCCCTCCCTTTTTCATCGCTCTATTTCAGAAGGAAAAAAAGAATAAAAAAATGTAGTGATTGCATAAGGTGATAGAGCTCTTCAAGATCTATAATCTACACTTTGCGTTTTTCGAAAAACGTGTATTCTAGAAATTTTAAAAAACTTTTTCTAAGAATAGTCCGAAAATGGCCGCGTCACAATGTCGCGGACAATAATTCTTCGAACGCAAAAATTTTTTTTTGAGTCCTATTCTGAAGCTGAAACAGTAATCCAAACGGGTAAGCACACTACTATACAGAGCTCGTCAAGAACTACACACTGGTTATGGTTGCTTCCCAAAAAACACAAGCTTGAGTTTTATTTTGCTTTTTTTCAAAAATAACTTCTAATTCTCCTTTTTAAGCCAAGTTTCTTCACATGGAAACCTATTCACGACATTCCAACAACGCTGTTAGGATAAAGTAGGTGCTCTTTACCATTCTCCATGCAACCGACATGTGCTGATGAGTTTCTTTGCTGAAAATGGCTCCTGGCAGTGCTTGCACATGACCCCACCTGCACCTCACCACTGACCTGTACCGCTTTGCAGGCTTGTAACTCGGCTTGTAGTCAATATGCGAGCCTGCAGTTAGGCTCATTCGAAAGAACGAGACCTCCCCTACACGATGATATGCAAAAGAGATGGGTATAAGAAACAGCGGAGATCTGGCGGATGGGGTGGAAAAACGCGGCCTCAGTGGTAGGGTGAGGATATCCAGCTAAAGTTGAATAGAGCTTCTTTCGCTACCAGTTCAATCCTGGAAGCTTGAAACTGTCAATTTTCTTGTAACAGATCCATTTTGAAGCTCTAAAACTGTTTTGGTGTTGATAAGAGCCTTCACTCCAACCACCACTGAGGCCGCGTTTTTCCGCCCCATCCGCCAAATCTCCGCTGTTTCCTAAACCCATCTCTTTTGCATACCATCGTATAGAGGAAGTCCCGTTCTTTCGAATGAGCCTAACTGCAGGCTCGCATACTGACTACAAGCCGAGTTACAAGCCTGCAAAGCGGTACAGGTCAGTGGTGAGGTGCAGGTGGGGTCATGTGCAAGCACTGCCAGGAGCCATTTTCAGCAAAGAAACTAACAGCACACGTCGGATGCATGGAGAATGGTAAAGAGCACCTACTTTATCCGAACAGCGTTGTTGGAATGCCGTGATTAGGTTTCCATGTGAAGAAATTTGGCTTGAAGAAGGGAATTAAAAATTATTTTTTGAAAAAAAGCAAGACAAAATTCAAGCTTGGGTTTTTTGGAAGGAACCATTACCCGATTATTGTCCTCGATGAGCTCTACGATATAGTATGCTTACCTGTCCGGATAACTCCGGACAGGTAACTCCGGATGTCCTAAACTTAGGGTGGACGGTTCCTTTAACATGAAGATACTCAACACGTTTTTATTTGAGTGCTGGGAAGACCATAATCAATGATTGTACCTAGATTTCGTTAAAATTTCTCGCTGCAAAAAACACTCATAATCCAGCGCTAAAGGCGCTTGGCAAAAACAAAGAGAGTGTTGGATTCACGTTTAACGCTCTTCAGATTGGTATAATTTCGTTTGGACCGGTTTCGACTGTGGGTCCTTCCCTAGTTATCACTAATTAGTAGGTGGGTCAAAACAACCTTAAGCAAAATCATTTGAAGTCGGGATGTTCCAGCATGTTAACCGCGAAAGAGATTATTTATCTTCCGTACCATAGGGTGTCGTTCACTTTGATACGTAGAAAAATTTTTTCCAACAAATCTCTATCGTGGCTGTGATCAGCATGCTGACCTCCCTCCATCCTCGGCAAGTGCTGATCAATTTCAGGATACTAGCCTCCTACACTATGATCGGTTTTCAGATTCGTGTGGAGGTGTATTGCAGACTTTGCCTGATAACACAGGTAAACTTGTTAGACTCCACGTAGTAGCACTGCTTTTCGTACTCTCTTGCTAGCAAAAATCGCCGCGCGGTGAGTTGGCAAGACTCCACCTCCACACGAATCTGGAAGCCGATGATACTACGGGGGTTTTCAATCTGAGTGTCATGGTCGGCGTGGTTCACCCACTCGAGAGCCGCTTCGCTTAGGTCTCTCACGTGGTACACTACCGCACCCGATAGCGTGAAGGCCTTAGCGTATGCGGCATTGTGCCACGTGAGAGACCCATGCGAGGCGGTTCGCGAGGACCTGAGCCACGTCAACCGTGACACTCAGATTGAAAGCCCCTGTATGTCTGCCTGAAGTGTGCCCACTTCAGGCAGACATACACCATAACTTCAGAATTGTTAGCGTACGGAATTAGTACGATATTCACGTTCAGCGTGCCAGGTATTAAGTCATCCATGCAAACTCGTAGCGTTTTATAATTTCGATTTCGGCAAATTGATGTGAAATAATATCAAAGTTCCTCTTATGCAGTGAATATCATGTTCATGATCAGCTGCCGAACCCTAGAGTCAACCTTGAGCGAGGCTCTTGAAGTCGAGACTTTGGGATACAGAAGTGAAACAACGAAAATACCAGCAGAATATGCCCAGAGCGCTCGTAGATTCAAAGTCAGCGGCACAAATGCATGTATTATGCTGAGTTAACACAAGCTGAGAGTGGGATCTTAGAACTGAAAGGACTAGGCAATATCGGACACTGCGCATCTGTTGCTGTCCGCTAGTGATGCGCATAAGGAAAAATAAAATACCAGGAGGGCTGAGTGTGAAAGTGCAGACTTTCGCCGCGATTGGTGCAGATTTTCTCTTTTGAGCACATTGGGCCTTCTTGCAAACGGCAAACGCTTTTGCTTACTTTAGTTTTGAATCACTTCTTCATTCAAATTAAACTGCTAAGTCTTAACCAACTAGTCCCTTCTGCTCGTTTCATATATACAAGACAGATTATAGCTGATTTGCATCTGGACTAGTGCTGTTCTTGTTATCATAAACTAGACGTATAAACTCATTCGCTAAGGTGTTTTGCAATGCGTCGAGCAGATTCCACGCTGTTCGCCCCATATCGCTCAATGGGGGTCGTATGTTCGGATCTCCGGCCGGTGATTCGACCAAATGAGTCTAAGACTAGGTTAGCGCCCCGAGTTCCCTTATGTTACCTTTATGCCACGTTTTCATGAAATTTCTCTTCAGAATGACCTCCATTATCTGTCCAGTGGATAATGTTCTTATGCATTACAAAGCTGAAAAGTTGAGACTTATAGGAATATCCGATGTCCTTTCCGATCTTATCACAGCTGTCGCAGTAGACGGAAGGTATGTGTGACTTGCTAATTCAAGATTCCAATGTTCTTCTATTCAGTGGGGTCTATGCTGCCAATGGTACCTCGATAGCTGTATTGAAAACATGCCGTCATGTCAGCAAATCTATCAACCTAGGAATAAAAACGAAATTTCTTAAGATATTGGGCTATAATCTGGTGCTGTTTTCGTAGCGTTATATCAATGTTTCGCTTTTCTCTTGCAGATTGCTGTGGATGAGGAAAATGGCATAAGAGTGGTGAGCATACCTGACGGACAACAAATCCTCCACATGGAAGGTTCGAAGGAGTTCGAAGTAACTTCCGTTGTCCACCCATCCACCTATTTATACAAGGTATAGGCTGTGTTGGTTGTTGAGTGCGATCAAGTTTCGAAAACTTCTTTATAGTTTTTCCATGCTTTATTTCAGATTCTCATTGGTTCCTCTATAGGAAAGCTGCGTCTAATCAACTTTCGGACAGGGCGGATCATACACGAATTCAAAGGTAAGTGAACAACGCATATCTAGGTCTCAACCGGGCTGAGGCCCAGTATTCCCGATCATGAGTCGGAATGAAGTCTATTGCTGTACAGCAATTGTCTGAAATGAAAAGCATCTCAGGAATTTCTTTGGAAGGCGTGACTAACGCCACGCCTCTTCATCCAGAGAAGTATGTCTCAGACAGGTCGTGTCGTATTTTTGATTGGGGGGGGGGGGGGGGGAAATGAATTAATTCCCCCCCCCCCCCAAAAAAAAAAACCGTGAACAAAAATTCTCGGCGCCACCAATTCGAAGCTACTGTGCTATGTACATCTGTCATCTCGTGACAGTTGCAGTGTCAACTTTCGCATGTTTTTGATGAAATCAGAGTATGAGAGAAAATATGCAGGCCTGCGTTATACTGATGCAGGCAGAGTATAGAGTAAAATATTGTAAAGGATAGTATTTATGAACTCTTTCTACATACGTCAAATCAATCCTTGTGCTATTGTTAGGTTAGATCTTTTTTGTTTCAAATTCTAGCATTCGACTCTGCAGTGACCGTGCTCGAGCAGTCCCCGGCTATTGATGTGGTGGCGATTGGACTAGTTAGCGGTCAAATATTCTTACATAATATTCGGCTTGATGAAACAGTATGCAAGTTTCGTCATGAAAGCTCAATCACAGCGATAGGATTCAGGTAATATTCTCACAGTATCCAGTTATCGTGATGGCTTAGGGGCGTATGCACTAACATCCCTGCGGCGAGGGGAGCGAATTCCCCGGTAATGAAAAAGCCGCAGCGGCGTCCGCACGCGGTCGCTTCATAACGGGGGATGCCGCTTCTTTGTCGGAGGGAGTTTAGTGCTTACTGGCAGTAAATGCAAAACTTACAGAACTGGTGAAGAACCTTTCATGACTAGCGCTGATATCACCGGAGAAATGGTAGTGTGGAATTTGGAAAAACGCCAAATGATTGGCAAGATCTCCAATGTACATCGTGCTGCGGTTACCGAATTGTATTTTATGCCTGGTGAACCGGTTATGGTGAGGGGTTTTTCCTTGTTTAATACAGTGTGTCTCAGCTTTATGTCAGGTTTCTGTATCTGCTGACAACTCCATACGTACATGGATTCTAGACGGTGTAGACGGTATGCCTCGTCAGTTGGTGGTCCTTGAAGGACACGCAGACGCTGTCACTGCTGTTTACTTCAACGGAAATCAAGAGGTTGAAGTTGCATGTAACAAGAATAAATTATCTATTTTCGCTGCAGGTCATCTCTTCTGGTCTTGATGGCTCCGTTCGCAAGTACATGGTTCACGTTGAGACTATGAGACAGAAGTTGGGAAGTGCGGGAACTATTTCCAAGTGCGTCCATAAAATTGTTGACTGATTTGCGTCAGTTCTTCTTTAGTGCAGCTTCATCTTACTTGCAGGGCTTCGGCCAAAATGAGGCATATCCCATGGAAAGGGATAGAAATGGAACCAGTAATCGGCATGGCGATTGGCTGGAGTAGAGAAGCCGCTTGGGACAATGTTATATGCAGACATAAGTGAGTGATTTCCGAATAAAGCATTCTGATCGGGACATTCTACAGGAATTCTCCTTTTGTGACAACCTGGACCACAAGAAAAAATTCGTTGGGAACTCATAAGGTCGGTGCAAGTTTTGATGAGACTTTTTATGTGATTCAAAGTTTCCATTCAGTTAATGCATGACCGATTTTCGAAGAAAACTGCGCTACTCAAAGCCATAGTCACTGCTATTTCGATATCACCTTGTGGCAATTTTGCTTTCGTAGGATATTCTACAGGTACTCAGGAATGTATGATCATTTTTCAGATGTATCTTTTTCCTTTCTAGGTCATATTGATCAATTCAATGTGCAGAGTGGTCGCTTTCTAGGAACATTCGTCAGTCCCCTTGAAGATGATTCAAAGCTGCAAGGGAACGAAAATTATGAAGTGATTTTGCTATTCCATTTGTTGTTGAGCTGTTACTTCCCATGGGTGTACCCAACATTTGACATAGTGGTTTCACGCATGACGATGATTCTGGCATACTATTTCTGAAGACATTTTTTGGGCTATGTTTGCATATGGGGCACTAACTTCAGTTAGTGGTAGGTCCCTCATCCGAGCCAAAGTTTTGGAATGACTGATCCTTTTGGAAAAAAGCTCAACAAAAGCCCTGAAAGACCAGGAGACAGAGCTAAGGGGTGTTTGGATTATTTCTGTTGTGACTCTATCGCATTGAAGCGACCTGCAGTCTCGCTCCAGCTATGGCTCAGTGGGGAGGGGAGGGGGCCTCGCGAATTTGCAGCCCAGCCGGGGACTGAGGTCATATTCTTATATATAAAGCTGAATGTCTGTTTGTATGTCTGTCTGTCTGTCTGTCTGTACGTATGTTCCGAATAGAAAATTCCATTTCTCAACCGATCCGGACCAAACTTGGCACACATACACTACGGGCCCCGGCGGATGTCATAGGCTACTTTTCTTCATCGATCGATATCGATTTTATCGATTTTTTGCAAGGTTTGAGCTACGGGTCTGGGAGTTGGCACAGGGGGGTAATCGAGCATGCTGATCACCCCCGTGGGGGTGATCAGCATGCTCGATTACACCCCTCTGCCAAATTCCAGCCCCCTAGCTCAAATTTTGCAAAAAATCGATAAAATCGATAAAAGTAATGCACGGTTTCGAAAACTAATATTGTATTCGTAATCGGCATGCTCGATTACACCCCTCTGCCAACCATGCCAACGTCCGTCATGCCATGTCTGCGTCTCCTCAACCTCCTTAGTCTTTGCCTGGCAAAATGCCAGCGCTATGCGCTCGCGAAGGGGTGGAGGACTATATGTCGCCGAAAAAGGGCGGTCCTTGCGGTCATTTGCGACAAGTATGCACCCTTATACATGCGCGGACATGCGTTCCTGCAGGGAATCCGCGCGGGACTCTTTCAAACTCGGCGACATATAGTCCTCCACCCCTCGCGAAGCCTCCAGCGATGCGCATGCGCTGCTCCATGTAGAATATATCGCCTAATCCGGTTGAAACCGACTGTACAGATAGACAGACATACAGACAGACAAACAGACTTTCAACTTTATATATAAGATAATGGCACTTGAGTTGGTTCTTCACACCTTAGTGTATTGACTGATGATCTTTACCAGAAAAATCTCCATGGATTATGCATTTTTCAGCAAAGAGCCCATAAGAATAGCATCACAGTGTTGGCAGTGAATGCTCGAGGCTCGGAACTCACCAGTGGTTGTGTCGGTGGTTGGCTCAAGTACTGGCAAATGCGAACAGGAAAACTCTTAGCAACAATGCGAACGCGCTTGCGTATCAAGCGTTCTGCACCATCTGTGTCGAACAGTTTGTTGGCGCTGGCATGTGCAGGAGACAAAGGTGCGAATTTTTTTATCCTAGCAAGAATAGCTTTTACTGACCCTGCTACATTTCTCTCATTCTTTTTATTTTACTAATGCTGGTTCTCTTTGTTGTTCTTGCACACTTATGGGCGCATCTAGAGTGCATCGAATTGAAAATCTCAAAAAATGTATGCGTTATTCTAGGTGACTCTGTGGTAATTATTGATACCCTCTGTCGTCGCGTCGTACGTACCTTCGATAATGTTGGCAAAACTGTTAATGCCTTGTCGTTTTCAAGTGATGGCCGATGGCTCCTCACTGCAGATAACGCCAGATACATCAGGGTGACTGGAATACATTATGTGTGATTGCTTACTTATATAGACCTTTAGGTTTGGGAGCTTTCCACAACTCAGCTCATAGATGTAATGTTATTCGATAAACCTTGTATAGGCATGTCCTTCAACAGTACCGGAGAATACCTAGCCACTATTCATGAGGTAAGTTGATGTCAGTGTTGTAGCATCCAATGACTTACTGTTTCAGGGAGAGAGATCTATATTTGTTTGGGCGAACAAGAAAATGTATGCATCGCATGTTAATATACGTTCTCTTCCGCTGGATTATCTTCCAACTTGGAAATCAAGTGTACCAGAAATCGGTGTAAACACTTACGTTATTGATGATGAAAGTGATGATGAATATGAAGGGAGCGAACAAGTAAGTGTACTTCTGTCACTATATTCCGTTGTTCATGCTATGAAATAGGTTGATGCGTCACTGGTAACGTATTCTGGGTTGGCTCCTTCGCGGTGGGCAAATCTTCCCGAGCTCGCCCTAATAAAAGAACGTAATAAGCCTCAGCAGCCAGCGAGGAAAGCAAAAAAGGTACACTTGTAGAGAAACTGCTTTGTAACTGAAATACGAAGATTTACAGGCACCGTTTTTTCTTTCCGCGGCACCTACTTTGGAAGGTTTTGAATTTAATGTTGCTCAAGAAGATGATGACGAGAAACGGCGCACACTCCTAGCGAAACGAAGTCTTCTTGAGCTTGAGAGCTCATTCAGTTCATTGCTAAGAAGGTCAGCACATTTTATGTCTTAACATGCAAGGCGGCTGTATGGAACTCATATGTACAAGAGTTCGTTGCAGGGCTACTGACAGCAAGAGCTATCTTGACGTGTTCTCAACTTTAAAGAATATGTCCGTATCAGCAATCGATTTTCAACTTCGTTCTTTACCGACTGATGTGTTACCAAATTTTCTCAAAATGCTAAAAGAGGTTTGTGCCAAATATTCGTTTGAAAAGAATGTACTGGATTGGTTGAAGAATATTTTCCATGTGGTGATGTGTAGTGCGGAAAAGCTTTCTTGGACAAAGAAGTATATCTGAGATTCAGATTCAAAGTGCTAAAAAATCTGATTTGGTAACGAAATGACCGACTCAAGCACTGATTATACTTCAAGATCCAAACAGGGGTGTTTGAGATAGGTATAACGCACATTCTCCAAAAAAAGATTAAAGCTGATTCTTCAAAAGGTTTTTTCTCTAATCAGATGTCACTGCGAATATATGAGAGACTCCATTTTTATGCATATGTAGTGCTAGCTTTTCTCAAATATTTCTTTTGCAGGTGTTAAAAACTAGAAAAGATTTTGATCTAGTACAAGCATACCTTGCCACTTTCCTCAAAATTCATAGGTAAGTCTTGATTTTAATGGCGATTATGATGTATCATGTTTGAAAGGTGCATTGCACAGATCAACTTTATGGCGAAAAGAGGATGATGACAGAGGAGAAGACCTTTCAGAAGTCTTGGAAGAGCTTTCAGCACTTGAAGAATGCGTGTGGGCAGATTATGAGCAAGTTTTGGTCGAAAACGCTGCTGTTGTGCAGTGGGTGAAAAATGCCTTATTATAGATCACCTATATTTGATGCCAGGCATCATCAATCAGCAAGTTGATTCTAATTGTCCTTTCGCAAACTATAGTTTCCACTGTACGCGAATGTGCGTCGTTGACCGCTTTCATGCTTGGTTGTCGTCTTATTAAGCAAAAGTACGACTTGATATTCGCTCACGCACTTGGAAATTGAAGGCGCATGGTTTTTACAAAAGTCGTGCTTTTGAAAGCTTGAAACTAGCATGCTTCATGCTACTTGAGGAAATTTTTTTAGGAACGTGAAGGGGCACAAAGCATACAAACTGTCAGACATACGGCTTGATCATGAGTGACATCAAGATTGTTTTTGATTGACTGCTTATATCTTGCTGCTGGGTAATCATTACGTATCGTTATGCATTACGCAGCAGATGAAGTCACAAGGTAGATGTTTCCGCATTGAAAATGAAGCTATTCGAGCAAATCGCATCAATTGAGGGCCGATCTGTTGAAATAGTTATAAATCACCAGATGCTCTTTATTTCCTTGCAAAATGCGTTGCAGATGCAACGTTCAGTTCTTCAAATTGCTACCCAAATTGTACAGGTTATCATAAAATCGTGACGACGTCGGCGGCGGCCTTTGCGCCCACCCAAGAGTTAAAGAATCATAAAGGATATTCGTCGACGACTGCCCCGTTTAGTGCATTTACACCACCGCAGGCGTGCCTTTGGAGCCTTTCCAGCTTGACAGTACGCTGCAGCGCGCCGGGACTTCTTAGCTCGCAGCAACACTGTCCTTTAGCCTCTTTTGTTGATTTAAGTATTTCACATCGTTTTTTCTTCTTAGTTTACGTATTTCAGTCAGTCATTCGTTTTCCCTTTTTCTTAGGTTCTCTCGATGTTCAAATGTCCTACGTTTCACTTTGATGAGTACTGAGAGGTAAGGAAAAAATTTGTTTAGAACACATTTCTTGAATTCCTCTCCCTTTTCACCCATCAAAAATTCTTTTTCAAAACGTGAACATCTCCTCGGGTAAAGTTGGGTAAAAGGGTGTGCTTTGTCCATAAAACAGTGGTGGTATCTGGAGTTTCCTTCGATGAGGCCACTTTGATGTTTATTTCAACACTCCTACATGGTGTCCCTGATGTAGGAGTGTTGAAGTAATCACTTCAGTGGTATGTCCCAGAAAACATATCAAATCATTGTAAAACATTGAAGAAAATATGCAATCGCAATCATAGCTATGACATCCACCACTGCAACTACAAATAAGGTCATTCTTTTTTTCTGTTTTGCTCGCGACGATGGTCTCACATAGACATAGAACGGTCGATTGCCTGAAATGAAAAATAAGAAGAAAAAACGATGCGAAATACTTAAATCAACAAAAGAGGCTAAAGGACAGTGTTGCTGCGAGCTATGAAATCCCGGCGCGCTGCAGCGTACTGTCAAGCTGGAAAGGCCCCAACGAGGCACGCCTGCGGTGGTGTAAATGCACTAAACGGGGCAGTCGTCGACGAATATCCTTTATAACATTCAGCGACTCTAGCGCTCAGGACAAACATTCAAAGTGTCTGGGAACTAACATATACCCTCGATATTAACCCATAAGTCTTCCCACATCATGAATTATGTGGATTGTGAGGCATCAAATGGGCTCGCAGCGCGGCGCAAACCCGAAACGATGTGGCGCCTAACCAGTTCACGTAATTTACGTCATGTTGAGGGAATATATATATATACATGTACATATATATATATATATATATATATATATATATATATATATTGATTGATATCGAAAGTACGTGAATAAATGCACAAAAAAAAGAAAATCTTACTGTCGAAACTACAACTCGACGTGCGCGGACGCCGCCAATGTCACGATTTTACGAGTGACCTACATTTCTCCTCACAGTGCGAATCGTTTTGTGTTACTTGTTGTTGTTGTTGTTGTTGTTGTTGTTGACAGAAGATTACTGTTACATAAAGATCTGACATATTTGCAATTATGACAGCAGAGGACTTGAACTTTCACAGTCCTGAAAATGATAATACAATCTGATATAGGATAACTATGGCAAGAAAGGACAAAAACAGCTGTATTTCGAGGAGAATTTGCACAAGTGCAAGATACATATCAGCGATGAATTAGAAGAGTACATTCCCAGCACTGAAGTGAAAATACCCATATAGTATATATACATGCATAATCACAGAAAACGCATGATTGCAAAATTACAATGCAAACTTCTCTCCAAGGTTGAAATAGTATGCGGCACCTGCAACCCCAGCTGCTGCTACCATTGTTATTGCATATCTCGAAACCGGACCCCATCTATGGACAGGACTGCGGTTTTTGACCTGGGCGTTTAGCAATACAAGAAGTTAAATTGTGATAACGAAATAACTGACTTGTTCCTTGTAGATTCGCGTAAACTCAGTCTTCAGTGCAAATGGTGGCATTAGTGACGCAAGATATAGGGAATCTGATAGTATAGCATCCGAATGAAGTTCGTAAGGCATTGTGGATAACAGCTGGTGTATGATTGGCATTTCCCTATAAGGTCGCCTTATGCCCTAACGCAAACATGATTCCGAAGATTACCGTTCGCTGGTGACTATGGCAGTTTTTCTTTTCAGAACTACAGCTGCACATACGTAGATCGGGGTCAATGGCGGCGAAGCTAAGAAGACGTCGAAAAACCGTACGATCTTGAATTAAAGATTTAGACATGACGAGCGTTGATAAAACGGAATAAACATTGAAATATGCAGACCTCCAAAAATTGTGAAGATTAAATACGATGAGATACTATGGGACTAATACTATGATACTATAAGATAAAATACTCAAACATTGAACTTAACCCACTTGTTGATATTGCTCAAGTGCATGACTGAACCAAGTCAAAGGCCAACTAAGCGCGAACATTGTGCCGAGATGTACGTCACGCATGATCGTTTCGAGCTGCGGATCAACCCGAGACAAAATCACGTACCTACAGAAAAGGAATGAGAGAAAAACAAATGAATGCAACGATCCTATCTCTTACAAAAGATCAAGCTCTCTAAGCACACTTTGTTCCAATGACTTCAGCAGATACGAACGGAACGGACCATGACGAGCTAGATTTTTGCACACCTCGAGGGCGCTTTCGTATCCGCACACCAAAAGAATTGTAAGACACACGTCATGGAATCCTTAATATTTCTGGTTATGACGGAGAACGTGGTTAAAAAGGAAACCAAAGAACCACCTTGATAATAATGGAATCGTTCGTTGCTTTTCAGAACACGAATTATTAGAGGTGTCAGCTGATCTTGTAATGTAGATCTGCGTTCGTCCGATATGTTTGGAGGGAAACGAGCTAACGTTCGTTGCACATCTAACTCAACCTGAGCAACAGACTCTATGTGATATAATGGAAGTGAAAGGAAATAGCTTTTAGCTATGCATGTTTTCTCTTATCATACATGCGGTAGAAATTCTATAAACTTTGATCGGCAGATTAATATTCTGAGGGCTTGCTAAAACAAACAAAAATTGCATTCAAAAGAAAACTCATTACCTGATGCCATTCTCGATGCTTTCGTAACTCTTCGTCGTCTTCTGGTTCTACCTTTAAAATACATTCAAGTATAGGCAAACGAATACAATTCATCAAAAAAGGATGTTTTCTGGTATTTTTCTCTAAATAGTACCTTTTTTCAGAGAAGGGCGAAAAACTCACAGAGTCCTGCGTTGAAGAAGACATTATTGAAGAAGTCGAGTCTGAAGTGTACGAAAGACTATCGTAATCATCGTCGTCCTCCTCTTCATCAGAAACAAGTCGCCTTGCCAGTATAGGCCATATTTTGGCCCTATACTGATCAAGAACCAGCCCACCGTTTGAACGAGCAAAACTGCGAAGATTACCTAGATAATTAATAAACAAAGTTACTAGGATGCGCTTGATTAGGGAGTAAAAGGCTCAGCACTTACCAACATAATTTTCAAGGTCACCATCATGTTCTTTCAAAAATCTCGCGAGTTCTTCGCGTTTTCTCTTCAAGCAATTATATCTTGCGGAGGCAAGCACTCTGGACTAAAAACAATGCTACGCGGTATGTGAAAGGAAGTCAACGAGCTCACTTTTCCAAACGACTTCATATTGTTGATTTCATCGCAGGAAGTGGTCTCCAAATGAGTGCCCAGGTAATCAACTTCATGAATTGGTGTGGGTGGCTCCGAAAACGAAGGCATGAGCTATAGATGCTGGAAATTAACTATGTTAAACACATTAAAAGAAGGGCTACGATTACTTATAAGAAATCACTATGTACAGCTGGACTTCTCATGCTATCAAAATGTGCCTTAATCCATCTCGTAAGGGGTCTAGGGACGAATTCGAAACGCACAAGCGTACCCTGATCGGCAACGCGGCAGCGACGCACAGTTTTCTCCGCCGAGCGCGACAGCGGTCCCAAACTTGATTTTTTAAACGTTTTTTGGTGTGTTCCGAATTTGCTTTCGAGGCTTTCCGAACTCGATCAGCAACAAGCACTATTGTCACAAAGTGGAGCAACCACAGCTTTGTAATATTGGTGTCTAAAACTTCCGGGTACAGCCATGCGATGACCACATAGATGGTTTTGTGATTTCGTTCGCAATCTCCAAGCTTTCTCCACAGTCTGAAACTTCTCCGAAATATTAGGCAGTGGAGAGGCATGGTTACGTCTGAGGATCAAACTCCCACTAACGGATTTGGTCACTACAAATGTTACCTTTATTAATTTCAAAAGGCCGCGCAGACTGAAAAAAGACACTGAATTGCAAAGTGCTTGCTCTATCCGCCGGTCAGCGAATTATGTTTGGGATCCCAATAAGAATGAGAACTAGTCGAAGTTGTACATGATGAAAACGTCGGGTTGAGCCTCGGTGAGTGACTTCGAGGAGCAAACAAATCGAGAACATCACCTGTATCACCTGTATTCCCGTTGATCGTCGCTTGACACGAGCGGGATCCAGTGACGCCTCCATTCGTCCCTGTCGCGAGCGATCGTTGACCAATGTCTTCTCATCGCACCAGGTACACGAGGAACGCTCTGAAGGACCTTAAAGGACTTCGTGAACATGTCCGACCATCGAGTCGGCGGTCTTCCTGTTCCACGTTTGACGTCCAGCGGTGTACAATCTGTTACAGCTCTGGTCCACCGATTGTCGTCAAAACGCATCACGTGTCCGGCCCATCTGATTTTATTCTGTTTGGCGTATGCCATCCCTGATTTTCGATCGTTGACATAGGGTGGAGCTTCGTATTCTTTCCCTTGCTTGCGCGAGTCGGGACACTCCTAACATCGCTCTCTCAACAGCGCGTTCGATGACGCTCACCGCATGTTCGTCCTGCTTCCTCATGGTCCACGTTTCCGAAGCGTACGTCAAAGCAGGTAGAACCGTCGTGCTGAAGAGATGGGTGCGGAGCCGGATGTTCCTGGTTTTCTTCACTGCGTCCTCAATTGCCTTGTATGCTCCTCATGCTGCTCGTTTCCTCCTGCTCAGTTCCGGGGCTAGCTCGTTCATCATGTTGACTTCCCGACCTAGGTAGACGTAGCTAGAGCATTCGGCGATCGTCATTCCATTCAGCGTGAAAGGAGCATCAGGAACCCATCCGTTTCTCATGAACATCGTCTTCGTCAGATTTAGCTGCAGACCGATCTTTCCACACACGTCATCAAACTGGGCCAGCATTCGTTCCGCTTGTGTGATGTCCGGTGTAATTAGGACTATGTCATCCGCGAAGCGAAGGTGGTGTAGTTGCCGGCCGTCGACTTTCACACCCATATCATTCCACTCTAGTGTCCTCATGACGTATTCGAGAGCAGCGCTAAAAAGTTTTGGCGATATCGTATCGCCTGTCGTACTCCTTTCTTCACGTCGATGGTGATGTCTTTGTAGAATGGTGTGATCTTCGTTGTGAAGTCGTTGTATAGCTCACGAACTGTACTGAGTTGGAATACCTTGACTGCTCAAGGCATCGATGACAGCCTCAGTCTCAGCCGAATCGAATGCCTTCTTCAAATCGATGAAGGTGAGACAGAGCGGCATCCTGTACTCTCGCGATACTTCGATGAGCCTTGTTGTCGTGTGTATGTGGTCCATAGTGCTAAATCCTTTCCGGAACCCAGCTTGCTCGCATGGTTGTCTTTCGTCTAATTCTCTTCCGATCCTGTTAAGAAGTACTCGTGTGAAGAGTTTATAGACTGTAGACAATAAACAGATAGGGCGATAATTTCCGATGTCGCGGGGGTCTCCCTTCTTGTACATCAACACGGTCTTGCCGGTCTTCCATTGACTTGGAATCGTGCCCTCCGTTAGGTACCGCGTGAAGAGCCTCGCCATAGTTCTAATAAGAACTGGTGGGAGATTCTTTAGGTGTTCCGGTTTGATCCTGTGGGGCCCGGCTGCTGTACGGCTTTTCATTGACATGATAGCATGTCGAACCTCCGAAGGAAGAACTGATGGTGCAACACATCCGTCCTCCTTGAGATGGCATGGCGGTAGGTGGACGTAACTCGCAAAGAGATCCGAGTAAAATTCGTTAATGACTTTCTCCACTGACCTTCGAGAAGATGTCGTGGTTCCACCAGAGCGGTGGAGTGCGGTCATCTTGGTCTTGTAATTGACGATGCTTCAGCGGGCGTTGCGTATACTTCTTCCGGCCTCTGCGGCGTCAACCATAACGTGTGCTCTTCTCTCTCTGAAATCTTCTTTTATCGCTTCTCTGCATTCTTCGCGAGCTCAGACGTAAGTTGGTAATTGCCTGATGCGCGTGCTGGATAAATCTTTCATATTCCTCGTCGATGTTGTCGATCACGGTATCTTGCCAAAAGCCAGAAGAAAACAGGTCCCAGTTGATGATAGTCGTGGGACGGTGTTTCTGAACTCGATGGCTCTTTCTGTATTCCGTGAGAAGTAGAACTTGGCACGAAGGAGACGATGGTTCGATCCCGTATAGAACTTCGGGACAACAGCGACGTCGGTCAGGCAATACCTTCTTTGACGATGATGTGATCAATCTCGTTGTGGTACTCTCCACCGGGCGATTCCCAGGTACAGCGTCGGGAAGGGCGCTTTTGAAACTGCGAGTTTCCATGGATGGTCCTCGTCGTCATGATGAACTCGGACAATCTCTCCCCTTGTTCGTTCCACTGTAGTCCATGGGTCCCGATGTGAAGTTCCGCAGGCGACCTTCTTGCTCCGATCTTTGCGTTGAAGTCACCGACGATGACCTTGTAGAAGGTGTGTTCTTCTCTGTAGAACTTCTCCAAGTCCATGTAAAAGGCCTCGACTTCATCTTCGTCGTAGCTTGATGTTGGCGCGTATGAAGACCGTCAAGGCTGGGATTGATCGACATCGTAAACGTCCGATCCGGGTTGTGAGTTGTTCGAATGAATCGATGCTCACGGCCAAACTCGTATTGACAAGGACTCCTTCACCGCCGACTCCCTTACTGTCGCATGTTCCTAAGGGTTGTTTCAGACTGCCGCACTGACTGCAGCAGACTGCAGCAGACTGCAGCTGACTGCACTGACTGCAGCAGACTGCAGCAGACTGCAGCAGACTGCAGCTGACTGCAGCTGACCGCAATGACCACACTGACCGCACCGGTCGCAGCCTCTTTTCTTAGAAGAAAAAATTATCAAAACAGCGTGATTCGCGCATAAGAAGATCATAAGTTCCATCAGAATTCTTCTCAATCAAATTTTGGCGATAGTTTTCTTTGATATGTTCGTATTTGTTCTAATTCTTCCTATCATTGCATATATCTGTCTTGTAACATTGTAAACCTTGTTGTCTTTTGCTTTTACGTATATATTGTTGTGTTTGTTTAAAACACAACCATTTATCCTCTCCGCCTGCAGGCTTCAGCCGCTGCGGTCGTTGCGGTCAGTGCGGTCAGCTGCAGTCTGCTGCGGTCAGTGCAGACTGCTGCAGTCAGTGCGGCAGTATGAAACAACCCTAAGAACAGTTCTTCTCCAGTATCAAACGTGGCGTTCAGCGGATCTCCTTGTCTCGGTCAGTCCGATGATGTCGTACTTGATCTTCTTTGCTTGCATCAAGAGTTCTTCGATGGATGCGTCCGATGCGAGCGTCCGTGCGTTGTAAGTACAGACCGTCATCATTGTCCGTCTCGTTTTCGGCACCTAGATCGCCCTTCAAACCTTGTCCCCACCGGCGCTGCCTTACCAGTGGCTCTTCCAAGATTAAGGGAGCTTTCCATTATATCACTGTGTTTAACGATTAATTACTCGCAGGAGCTGGGCTCAAATCTCCCGCGAGGGACGGTTGGAGCTCATTTGTTGGAGGCCCACCTCTCCCACACCTACCCGGGAAATAGGTATGCAAGCTTTTAATGGAGGCAGGGAGTCCGTCCCCCGGCTCCGCTTGCTTATCAGAGCAGGCGCTGGGTCGCTTTTGGTCGGCGATTAGCCCCCTATCCGCCACATGGGGACGCCCCACGTAGCCTCGCGACTAACCGGCTGGGATCCCTCTGCGAAGGAGATCCGTGGATCGAGAACATAGTTGCTGAAAAGAGAAAGGCGGAATATTTAGGTGGTTTGTTTCTTTGCAAATCCTCCCCTACCGCGTCTCGCAATGTTCTCTAGCATCAGATAATTTGTAGTCGTCACAGTGAGCAGCCTATTTGAGCAAAACTGGAGGAGAAATTTGAAAACTATCTTACACGTTACCCACTGTACTCCAAGCTAAAGCAGTTATGTATTTATATACAAAGGCGTGCCATGTCGAAGTAGCTGAATGGTAACCTTCAAAACTAGTCCACTCTGAACATAGACCTGATGCGAAAAATTTGATGAACTCTGGCGGAGGCCGTCCAAGCACAGCCGCCGCGATTCGTTTTTCACGAATAATGAGCGGCAGTCCAGGAACTTCACACCCAGTAGCTGATCTGACTTCGTCATAAAGATCCCTACTACAGTTTTAAGCCTCAAAGTACATATGTTGCACAAACTATATCTGTAGTAGTGTGGTAAAACAACTTTCTGACGAATTCCAGCTTTTGGTGAAAACTACACCCAAAGAACAATTCGAACTTTTCTGCTTTCTACACTTACAAACAGGTGAGACCAGAATTGGCAATAAGTTTGCAAAGAAGCCGTAACTTCATCAGTAACGCTATCGATAGATTTCCTTTTCGCTTCTTGGTAATGTTAACAACTGAGTCTATAAATTGAGGCTGAAAAGGATTTTTTATTGATGAACAATCAGCACGAATCTTTTCTGAGCGATTTTACTTTTCTTTCCACCCTTGTCATACATCTACTTGACTTTACTGATATTCCACTTATTGTGGAACATCACCGG